AATGAGTGAAAAAACCTTAGCCTCAACCTCAACAACAAGCGATACAAGCATAACAAGCAAGGCACTCTCAGGAGCTGGAAACCTCATCAAGCTCCTTCCAACAGGTACTGTCTTCCTGTTTCAGTTCCTAAGCCCTGTTCTCTCCAACAATGGTCACTGCAACACCATGAACAAGTATCTAAGTGGCATTCTGCTTGTGGTATGTGGATTGAACTGTGTCTTTGCTTCCTTCACCGACAGTTACACCGGCAGCGACGGCAAGAAGCACTACGGCGTCGTAACCACCAAGGGACTGTGGCCTTCTTCGTCGTCTGAGACGGTTAACTTGTCGGCGTATAAGCTCCGGTTCGGGGACTTCGTGCATGCTTTGACTTCGTTGAGTGTGTTCGCTGTGTTGGCGCTCCTTGATACCAACATAGTACAGTGTTTCTACCCGGAATTTGAGTCCTCTGAGAAGGCTCTGATGCAGGTTCTGCCAGCAGCTATTGGGGCAGTTACTAGTGTTGTGTTCGTTTTGTTCCCTAATCATCGCCATGGAATTGGATACCCTGCAACCTCTGACTCTAACGATGTCTCCACACAAAAGTCTCAGGCATAGTCACTGTGATGCATGTTTGATAAGCCAACTTGTTATAATATTTTCGTTGTGCTTGATTTGTCAACGTTCTTATAAATGAAAACTTCTAAGTTATATATTACTTGCAAAATATTGTTTTTTTTAGTTTAATACATGATAAATTGTGTGATTTACTCTGAAATTATACATGTCTAATTTTTTTTATCACTTATTTTATATTTGTGGGTAAGAGCAGGTTATATTTACAAACTCTTACAAACTACACTGTCTTTTCTTAGGAGAACACTAATTTCATTATGTTCTCCCGGAAGAAGATAATGTAATTTATAAAAACTTATCAAAAAAGTTTATAAACGGATCCTTCCCCTTGTGGGTAAGGCAAAGCCCTTTGCAACAAGGATAAGGTTGACCAGAAGGTTACTAATTAGAGCATGGGAAACAAACTTTTTACAAAAAATAAGGATAATAGCCAATGAGTGTAGCTCAATTAGCAACACATGACTCTGAAGATAATTTGAGTGCAATTTCCACCTATTTGTTTACAACTCTTATAAACTCAATTATGTATTTCGGTGAATACAAATACTTGAGAGTGTCCTCCATCCATAATTGAAATTGTAAGAGTTGTGAACGTAATTTGCCTCCATCCATCTTAATTTTTTTTTTCCGATCACATCATGTAATTCAATTGTTTTCTTTATTTTGAATGATTTTGAATTGCTTTTTTTCTTCATTTTCAACTATTTCAAGTTTCAACCTTCCATAATTTTGCATTTGATTTTTCAAAATGAAATGAGACGCTTAATGTTTAATGTTTACAAAATGAAATGAAATGAAATAGACATCTTAGGTTGTTTTCATAGGTCTCCTATCGGAAATGAAATGAAATAGAGACTTAATGTTCAACTATCGGAAATTACACTTGATTTTTTTCAAAATGAGATAGACAATACAAAATGAATGACAGACGCTTAACAAAATAGACGCTTAATGTCCTAAGAATTACAAAATGAGACGCTTGATTTTTTCAAAATGAAATAGACAATACGAAATAGACATTACACTTTGTTTAATGTTTACAGGTCAAAATGAACATTTAGGTCGACGATAGATTAGTGAGATAAATAATTTAGGTGTAAGTGATTGAACATTTGAATGGACAATTTATGTAATTTTAAATGGTATTTAAGTTAACTTAGGCTACATTATCCCCAAAAAAAAGTTAACTTAGGCCAAAAAAATTAAGAAATGAGTGATAAAAAAGAAATTAGAGAGATAAGTAATTTAGATAAGTGATAAAAATCAGGTCTGATACTGAGAATGAAGAAGAAGAAAACAATCTGGTAGAGTCGTCCCTTATTCATTCCCATGAACCGAGAAATAAAATAAAAAAGAAAGATAAGTTATAAAATAAACCACAAGTTGTATTTGATATAAAAAAAGAACAAAAAAAAAACGTGTATTTGAAGTTGTTTTTGCACATCGTAAGATGTTCGTTGACTTTTTAAAAATTTAAACAACTAATTAACTATATATAGAGCTTCTTCTCATCTTCTGTTAGGAGAAGCCCTAATTAACATGAAATGCTGAAGAGTTCACGGCTGAGTGGTTAGTAGTTGTTATTCACCTGGGTTTTATTACTGCCTCTAACGGGAGGTTCATCTCGCTCTTAAATTGGTGTGGGACTAGATATGTATATATTTCTAACAAGTGAAGAATATTACTAGCTAGTCCTTTATATTATGAAACTTTCTCATACATTTTTCCATTATTTTTTTGAAAAACCAATTTTACTTACGTACATAATAATAATAATAATAAAAGTTAGATAATCCTATTTACAAAAAAAGAGAGTTAGATAATCCTAAAGTATTATCTGCTTCCTTGTCTTGTATCTATATAATTAGTCTAGAGTGACTAAAAAACTTTTTTTAAAAATGTAATAGAGAGTGGGAAACGCCTTATACTAAAATTAAGACTGATTGAAGAAAGAAAAAAGAAGATGCAGAAGAAGACCAATATGTGGATACATTTTTCATTGTGGATTCTCATCTAATGAAAGATAAATTCTTAGGTAAGTAAGTACTTAAATCAACGCTTGGCCACATAAGATAATTAGAAATAGCTAGGTTCATTTATGACATACTTCACGTAACTTTATTATCTACGTCAATTGTTAATTTAAGTATCTATCTAACAATTTTTCTACAAAGGATAGGATGTCTGATATGCTGTCTAACTTTATTATCTACGTCACGTGTTAATTCTATGGATTGGACTGCAAGCGGCTGACCTCACCAACCCAACTTGAACAACCGTTGAAATTACATACAAAGATTTTATTATTATCATTAGGGGAAAGTATCTATCATCTTAAAGGATACAAAGTTGTGTTATTTTAAGTGAGAGAAAGAGATAAATCATAGGAGAGAGAATGAGTGAAAAAAGTGTGGATCTCACCTCTTCGTGAGAGTAAAAAAATATAAGGTGTGTTATTTAAAATGACACACATTTTCTCCTTATCATTATTATTATCGATTAAGGATATGTAATCAAAAAATTGAGCTGTACTTAAAATAACTAATTTTTAAATACCAATCCATGAATCAAATTGATTTTAATAAAGCAGTTTAAGAATCGAACTGGTTTAAAAAATAGTTCATAAATTGAATTTTTTTCTTTTTTTTCTTTATTTCTCTCTATTTTTTTATTTATTTAGTTGCTTATTTTATTTTTATCTTTATATTTATTACTTTATTTCTTTTCTTTTATTTTCTTTTCAAAATAAATTTGACCTGAATTGGTTGCGAACCAAATCGAACCATTTTTAAATTGAACTGAACTGTTTTCAAACAAATCGAATCAATTTTGAACCGAACCTTGAGTTTGGGATAAAAAAAATATTTGATTATTTGAACCGAATTGGTTTAAATTAATTTGATTCAATTGTTTAAAAAAATTCAGTTCAATTCAATCTATACTATCGATTAATGGTTGACTGAGGTTTACGTCAATTGCACCCTTTACCCAGCCAATCCTCACGTTATCCCGAATTTGTTTATTTCAAATTAAATTATACTTAAATGTTTTGTTTTGATAGAGACAAAATAGTAATAAAGGTATATACCTTGATATTATTAGTAAAGGCGGCCAGAGACGGAACTAAACCAAAAAAATTTGCGGGTGTAGATTGTTTGACTGCTAATCTATAAATTAACAAAAAATATAATAATTATTCACCTATGGGAATGCAAATTGCCATCCACACTGTATACGTAGGTTTGCCCCTAAATGTGGAACTGGTCAAGAATATAATCAAACCATGTACTTGAGGATTGTTGATACTTTTAAAACAATAATTAAGCCAAACTTGTGTTACGTGTTCCTTTTGATTATATTAATGTTTAGAGTAATTTTGGTATCTCTTTAAAGTTGAAAGTAGAAGATTTATCTACTCATTTTATAATATAAAGAAAAATTGAACCATTATTTTCATTACCAAAAAAGGAGAGAGAAAAAAAAACACGGATGAGATATGGTATGTGTAATTTTTATACCGAAAAAGTATATATCTCTAACAGGAGTCGTACTATATGTATTACTATTAGCTCCTTCATCCTTCAAACAAAGTAAAATGATTAAAAATATTTAATTAAATAAAAAAAGGGTTTATTTTTTTCTGCAGATACTGCAGATAAGTTATATGCAGTAAGCCTAATACGACGTCGTTTTGGGACGGAAATTATGGTGTTTTTGTAATTTTAATTTATTTCAGCGTTATTATAGTCTTTATAATTATAATTTTCTAATTTTTCAATCCCAAAACGACGTTGTTTTGGAAGTAAATGCAGATAATTTATCTGCACTGCAGAAATATTTAATTAAATAAAAAATAACAAGAATAATTTTCAATTTGTTTGCCAGAAGAACATGCTATGTTGTGAAGGAATTGATTAAGCTTTTATTAAAATTGGACTTATATTTCCAAAAACACTCCTGAGAAAACAGAGTTTGCTAGAAGCTCTGTATGTACTGTGTAGTATTTGAGGGGTCAGGGGTAGGTACCGACCGGGACATGAATGCTGATTATTATTGGTTTGAATTGTAAATACCATGATATGCAGCTAGAAAGACTAAAATAAACTTAACTATTGCTTGATTTAATATTAAATTGCTTGCAATACGATGTAAGATCATGTTGTTTAAAGCATATCATATATTACATATTAATAGAAGTATAACAACCTGAACTGAATTATAAGAAGCATCCAGCAAGGTGTAAACATTTATATATGAGATTTCGAAATCTTATCTATTTGTGGCATTAGCTTCGATCAAGAGCACTATGAATTGTTAAGTTTCATTGCAGGTGTAAACATTGCTTATCAAAATATACCTTATTACTTGTATCAATCAAACTTTTTTATGTCACTAGTAGTTTGGGAGATGGGGTTGATTCCCATACACCTGTTGAAGAACAAGGCGGTGTTATTCTCACAACCTTCCGCTTTAGTTTCTTGCATTGTCTGATAACATTTTTCTGAGAAGATGTGTTTACTTTCATCACTTCAGCCTTCACTATGTGGTGATCAGAAGTGCCTTTAGAAGAAATGACTGAGTACGACCCCGGAACAAATTGGTAAGGTGAGTTTGGGGAAGCCAAAATGTAATCCACACGTGTGCCATACTTGCATGTCCCCTGCACATCTATTTAAGCACTCACATTAAACTTTGAAGTTTGTAACAATCATATGATAAGCTAAATTCAGTTAGCAAACAAGCAATTAAATAAGTAAGATACTTTGGCCTTTGGCAATGATGACAATGGGCTCACATTCTCCTGCATAATCCTTTGCATCAACATAGTCTTTTGATCTCATGAAGTTCATCACTTCGGTCATTGGCCTTGGCTTTCCAAGTTTGTCATAATACTACAAATAAAAATAAAATGAAATGAAATTCTCTTAGATGTGACATGCCCTATGTGAGTGAGTGCAAAAGAAACAGAATTTAATGTAAATATTTGTGAGAAAATTACCTTAACAATGTCTGTCCATCTCTCTGATGAGTAATCTGCTCCATATAGAGAATTGAGACCTCCTGCTAAGATGTGGGGAGGGTCATTGGAACGGATTATTGCATTTACTTGCTTCATTCTCCAATTCTCATCTAAATGGTCAAGTTGAGTAGAGTGGAAATTTATTTCTCCTGCCCATGGCACATCAATTGTGGCCTTCAAAACGTTTCTGCATCACTCAAACAAGAGTCATTGCATTTTACAGTCACCAAAAAAATAATAATAATAATAATAACTAACTACTTTCATGAAATTAAAAGGCTAAGCCTTGAAGCAGTGATAAGGTTGTTTTTTTGTGACCGGAAGGTCAATGATTCAAATCTGGGAAATGGAATCTTTGCAAAAATACAAGGGTAAAATTATATATAATCGACCCTTACTTCTATCTTTACAATTCTAGGAGTCTTGTACAACACGGTTTACACTTTACTTTCATGAAATTGAAAAAAATTCAACGAAAATATGGGAGAGAGATAAAAAAAAAAAAAAAAAACCTGAAATCATCATCATCAGCAATCTTCTGAACTTTCCACCTCTTAATTGGCCATTTGGACAAGATGGCATTTCCATATTCTGGAGCCCAACTTTCTGCAAAAACATATTTCATCCCCAAAGCACTTGCCAAATCAGAAAGAGGCTTCATGCTCTTCTCTTCCTCTGCCTTCACATCCTGCAGGGCCAGCACATCAGCATCAATCTCTCTCAGAACTTCCAAGATGCTTCTGCTGCTTGTGAATTTCTCAGTGCCCTCACAATAATTCATAATGAAAGGAAAGCATACAGGAGACCTTGCTGGGACTTGTTTTCTTCCTGAAACACTGCCAATGATTGTGTCTGATGTACCCTCTTTTCCCTCCATTGAAGCAAGCAATCTACTATTTGCCAATGAAATCTCATTATCAGGAAGATTAATAGAAACCTTCAAATTTGATCGTGGCATAATCTTAGAGTCAGAAAGATCCTGAGCTTTATTCAGAGAAGCATGCAATGGAGATTGCTTTAGTATACTCTTGGGAAAATCAACCCTTGTTGAATTCTTCTTATTAGATCCTTGTTCATGATTGGAAACAACCCACTCATCAAATTCTGAAACAGCTGGTGCTAGAGAAAACATGGCAACATTGAATGTAGCAAACCGAATAGGCCTTCCAGATTCAGACTCCACTAAGTGGCCATTTGAGTGATGATGACTTTTAGATATGCTGTTACACATTTCTGCTCTAGAGTGACCCTTACAGTTCAATTTTCTAAACCTTTTGATAACAACTTTAGACCTGGGACGCTTCCATAGTAGCCACAACATCCTTGAATAAAAGTGTCGGAGTTTTCTTCGAATTACACTCAACATCTTGAATTGATAGAGAAGCTAACTTGCTTATTAAGAAAGAAAACAAAAATTTTATGTCTCTGATTTCATGAAGAAGTTCATGCTTTTTTTCACCACCATAGTTAGTGGCACATCTTACACAAGTGAAACCAAACTAGTCAATATATGATGGAAATGGAGACAAGATTAGGTTTTAACTACTACACGGAGAGAGATCGATGGAGTCAGAAGAGTTGACAATGGTGCAATGTTGTTGAGCTTCTTTTCCGACACAAGAAAACAAACGCCAACTGCTACCAATGAGAGTAGATAACAAAAGTATAGTTTTTTTTTTATTAATAATAACGACATGATTACCAAAATTTACGTAAATTAAAACTGATTTTTAAGTAGGGTCATCAGCCAATGAAAGCAACAGTGATGCATTAAGACTTTGTTAATAGAAGTTTGTTTTGTTATGGTTCTTCCATCCCGTGATTTGCAGTCATTTCTGATTTCATAATTAGCCAATGCAGATTTACATTATTCTTTATATATGAGAGTTGAAATCTTGTTATTTACGTCCAAAATAATAGTAAAAAAATTACTCATTCCTCTTAACCTGTTCCGTGAGCTATTATTATATAAACATTAGATCCCACTTTTTTAAACAAGCTAAACTTTACATAGTCCCTTGATAAATTCATATGCAACTATCATTTGGATTTAGTTACTCTAACCCACCCAATAATAGTTAGAAAAGCAGAGATTGCTGAGTCCTTTTCACAGAACCAGAAGTCAATAATGTAGGCAGAGAAAGTAAGAGACGATAAGATATATATAAACATCACCCTAAAATTATTGTTTAGTAGTTTCAAATAGGTAAATTTTATAATACATTTTATAAAAGATATAAAAAACAAATTTTACTACCCACTAAGTTGTGATTCAATTGATAACTAAGCAAAAATATATCACTGATATGAATTTTACTTTTAATATTAATTATTTAAATTCTAATTCGAAATACATTTTAGGGGAAAAAAATTAGTATTTCAATAAAGATTAATCTCAAATCGAAAAGATGTAAATTGAATTTTTTATTTAAAAAAAAATACATATTATGTTTTAATTGATGTCTTATAATGTACTGAAATACACCACTAATTAATAACAATATTTACACATTTTTATTAGGCAAAACAAATACTCTTAGCTTTTGCCAACCTATTTTATGATAATGTCTAATATAGTGATTCAGGATCTTAATAAATATTTCTATTTTAAAAAGTGTTAACCTCATGAAATTATCTTTCTTGGGATTTGTTTAATTTGTTAAAAAACTAAGAAAAATAAAATTTTAAAAATTATACTTTGTTTAATTTTTTTAAAATTATATAAATACTGAATAAAAGGTGTTTAACGAATAATACAAAACTCTGAATATTCTATCTAGTACTAAGCCTATTAAACAACATATATCTCACAAGATTTAGTCATGTATGTTGGTATATCAAAAAACATATAGCAATCCCAAAAATTGTATTAGGACTCGATCAATTAATAGTCTTGTACTATTCAATTTATCGTGTCTGAATATTCATCAAACACATGTTAATAAATAACAAAGATATGGCCGATCACAAAAGTACTTACTTTATCATGATAGGATCTTTTGTACTTTTGATTTCGCAATATGCAATGCGGAACAGTGGCACAACTAATATTGAATTCCAACTGCATGACAAAATGAAGCCTCGTCGTACCACTCTGCTCTGAACAACATCAGAGCAAAGCAGATGACACATTGCAAATTACTAGGCCTGCCAAACACTGGTATGTGGGCTGAATCAATAGCAGGTTATTTATTGCAAATTATTAGGCCTACCAAACGCTGGTATCTGGGCAGAGTGATAATAGATTTTTTTTAACGGACCCAAATGAGCATAGCAATGATATTTGCATGTTAATTTGGCATTTTTTTTGTTTGGGGGACCACTGAACGTATAGGCCAAGAAAGGAGCTAACTGGATCATCCTTTAAAAAAAAAAATCCATATCAAGGCAGCACATAATATCAAAAGATTCAAAACATAACAGGACAAAAAAAAATCCTTCCATCATGAACGTGGTCAGGTCCAGAGTCAATTGAAGGTACATCGTTTGTGATGTCTCAAACCACAAAGAAGCCAGTCAAATTATACTAATAATGGCACATCCAGCAACCTATAGAGTAATTCATTTCTTAGGCTTTTTATAAATCAGGTGATTGTACTTCTTCCGGTCCGACCGGATAGCTCTGCCGAGTCAGCTAAAAAATTGCACACATAATCCCTTCTCAAATCACGTGGAACATGTAACTCCTCTCTACATAAGTTCTCTCGTATTTTTCATGCACACATAACCCTTTACTAGGGGCTATACAACCTCTCACCTAAATAGTTATGACATCACACTTTGTGCCTTGGGAAGTACTCTCCAACACCTACATAAAAGGATCTCAACTTTCTTACTATTCATCTTCTCTATTTGTCATTACTCCGCAGAATTCTCTCCCGATGAGCATAATTGTAGCCCCCAACACACATCCTCCCTTTGCACCCTCAGCAAGACTGAGGCTAGTATGGTGACACCTCAGGGCTTTAGTCTAGTCCATTACCACTTTTGTTTTCGTCACATCAATATACTTCACCCTTTACCTTATTTGATCCAGTTCATTACTAAACTATCAGAATGTATATCTCGCAAGCCACCCGAGTCAACAACAATATAGACTAGTATATATTCTTTTCCATTTTTTTTTAGTCGTATTCCGGATTAAAATGAAAATGAGGAAACGTGAATTAAAGAACTATTGTGTTTTTCGGTCACCATCACCTATATATCAACCCACTATCCCAAACAAATCGATTATGGATTCAAGTTTAATAACCCTGTTTTAGATAACATGTGGCAATTTGCGGATGAGTTTGAATTAGGTTTAATCTCACCATTTTATAATATTACACCAACTGAACAAAGCACTCAAATTAGTTTATATTTATTGTAGTAGGTTACGTGTAACTAATTATTAATCAAATTCAGTATTAATTGCTTCTCGATTGATTAAGCTCAATTGGTACCATATATCACACTACAAAGTCATATATAAGGGACTAAAGTAACTATTATTTAACTCTTCATTCTTTCATAATTAACAAAGATATTAAAAAGGTTGATAATAGAACCGTTGAGATGACCATTTACTGGTCCACCAGTATTGTTTATAAGGCCTGTGTTGGTCGTTCGCGTAAATTGAATAGGCGGTAAATGGGCATAGTACATAGCCATATCTTGAGTGGCATGTGAAGGTGAAGAGTACCAGTTAGGACCCCTCAAATTGAACATAAAACATGTGTCACGGTTGCGCCAAACCTCCACAACAGCGACGGATAATTTATCGCCAGGAAAACCGTACATGTGCGCCACAAACAAAGCGGGCCAAGGTGTGCCGATGTTAATTGTGCAAGCATAAAGAACGCCAATTCTCACATGCTCAACTCCATAATGGATGAGCATGTAATCTGCGCCTTTACTCACCAATGGAGTTGTTGTAATTTGGGAAATCTGTTTCACAAACAGTAACGCAAGAAACATAACAAGAAAGAATAAAGAAAGCATAAAGCGACGAGACACCAGTATTTTACAGGTTCAGAAACTCAGGGTTAGTGAGTTTCCTACGTCCTGGGGCCTAAAGAGGGTTAAACGCCCTCTGATATGCAGTTTATTCAAGATCAGAAAGAAAAACAAGAATTCACAGTATACAGAAACTAGCAAATAAGGAACTTAATTTCTCAACAAATAACAACAAGACAAACAGATCTTGAATAAACACTCAAGATCAAGAACGGTAAACAACTGATATTATATAGATGAAGAAGACTTCCCAATCTTCACAAGCTAGCATAGGAAACTCATAGTTCCTATCTCTGGACCTCCAAGCCGAACACACGAGCTTCACAGGACCACCTTGCAGATTTTCTTCTCCAGCATTTGAATACCAATCAGAAGATCTCACCGATCAAATGAACCGTCTTGTTGAGATGAACAAGATTCATCAAAGCATCATAGCCAAAATCACAGTGTTTCACTCAGTGTTTGTACAAGAACACTCAAAACCGCAAAACCCTAGCAGAGCCTATTCTCTCAGGAGATTATATCAGAATACCCAAAAATGAAGATTTCGCCAACGCACAGCACGAAGAGGAGCTCATATACCATTAAGCCATCACATCTTAAAACGCTGACGTTTTGAGGTGTGTTGCTTATTGCACAAAGACCCAACTTCAGCTGAATAGGGAAAATCACAATGGGCCTAAAGTTAACACTTGGCCCACAGACATTTAATAATCTCAACACAAAAAGAATCAGCCCACCAGAGTCACTGTAGAGTGAAGCAAGATTTTTTACACATATATTTTGTTTAGGAAATATATATATATATATATATATATATATATATATATATATATAACTATATACTACAGGAGTATTGCCACCGTTGTAGAAATAAAAGGTACGAAGAGAACCACCGCCATCTCCTCTGTTGGTTTCATCGCGAACTCCGATATCCGCTATGGTTCCTTCACTTGTAAAAGTGTGATCCCTCAGGGTCACACGTGCGTTGTCCACGCCAACGCTCACTCGAAGGGTGCAAGTTCTTGAATCAGAAATCGAGTATAAAACTGTTTGCTCCTGCCCGCTACAACTCTTTAACACATCAACTTTCAAGTTACTGGTTTTGCTGCCCATGTCTCTTTCTAAATGGCCTTGTTTTGTGGCCTTGTCATGGCTTTCTGTATTATAAACAGCTAACTAGATTCTTAGCTTAGAAGAGTAGCAACTTATTTTTTATTTTATTTTTGACAGATATGGAGCATTCTTCTCCCGATGAGATTCCATATTAGTGGGTTTCCTTTTTTTCGACATCATGATTAATATGTACGCCTTTGAAAACTATTATGCCCCATATATACCAATATATGTCGATTCCCGCATTTCCTATTTTTATATGATTGATGTTGGCAACTCTGGGATCCATTTTGCAAAATGGCAAGAAATTGACTAAATTATAGAATCATAGCAGGGTAGATAAAATGGCGTAGTGTTGATTTTTATTTGACCGCAAAATTCTCCTTAAGCTAAAAGAAAAATTCTATAGAATATCAGTCAAGCCTGCAATGTTATGGAGTTGAAAGTTGTGGAAGTAGTAGATATGAAGATGCTAAGGTGAATGTGTGGTTATACGAGGGTGGATAATATAAAAAATAAAGATATTCGACAGAAGGTAAGAATCCTAGCAGCGACTGAAAAGATGAGAGAATATAGATTGAGGTAGTTTGGGCATGTAATGAGAAGGCATCTGTGTACTCCCGTAAGAACAAAAATTTGTTACCAAAAGCTAGACACAAGGAAAGATAGAGGTAGACCGAAACTTGTTTGGAGGAAGGTAGTAAAGCAAGACTTAATGGAGTGAGATATAGATTGACAAATGATGTGCCTTAGGATGAAATGGAGAAAAACTATTAGCATGGTGGGGGGTTAGACCTGTTGTTATTCCTATATTCAAGATGGTCTTTTTTTAGTGTTTTTCCTCTTCGTTCCCCCCGCCCCATCCCCTCTTTTCTTCTTTTCCCCTTCTTCTTTTCCTTTATCTCTTTTTCCCTTCCCAATTTTTTTTACACCCCTCTTATTTTTATTTTTATTTTTATTTTTATATGTACTACTAGGGTTTGAAATGACAAACACTTTTCTCATACTATTATTATCATTTTATTTATTTTTATTTTTATTTTTATTTTTATTTCATCCTACCTTTCATTTGGATTCATCTATTACCGACTCCAATTAATTTAGAATAAAAATGTTGTTGACGAGTGCAAGTGAATTATGGGACCACAATGGCATAACTGTGTTTGGAGGAGTAGGAAACCTTCGCAGTATCTGACAAATTCCCAGTTGATAAAAGATTCTAAAGTTGTTCTTCTTTACCGAATAATTTGGAGTAGGGAAATTTCGTAAACAAATGGCTCTTTAGACTTTGGAGCACGTTATGCTATTCTTGACTATAGTATTTCCAATTTATTAATTGTAATTTATTCTCAGATCTTTATATAATTTTTGACTGCAATCATAAAAAAAACAAAAAAAAAAACAAATATTCCCTTGACGAGATGCTTTGATCCTTAATTTTTTGGCAGCATATAGATGAAATGACTTTACTATTTTCCAATTAAGTAATTATTAAAGAAATTTAAATCAAGAGTGAGTGACTCTATCAATTTTTTATTCCCTTCTGGAAGCACAAACATCGGTTCTTAATACACAACTCTAACATTATAATAGTTTCTAAATATACACCATTTGAAGTTTTGTAATCTGGCTGTTTTGGATATTTGTCCTTGTGCTCTTTGAATAAATTCCCACTCCCTATTCCTTGAATAAATAGACTTAATCTTTTGCAAAAGAAACCTGCCGAAGAATAAAAAAATGAAGGGTAATGCTAGGAAGAGCTCGAGCTCCTTAGATTCTCGAGTGTCTGCTGCCTATGTGTCCAAAGATGAATGTTTTGTAAATCAATTAAATGGGTTTTATTCTCTCTGAGACAATTGATTTGTTAAGAGAAGGTGAGTCCAACTGAAAATAGTAGGTTAAGTGTAACTCAATAGTAAGGTCTTAATTATGAATCAAATTCAGTATGAAATACTTCTCATTTGATTAAGCTCAAATGGTACCATTAGACTACAATACATAGTTATTAGCAATTAGGAAATAACTATAAGACCTCCATGCAAATCTCCACCTAGCTATGATTTGGTCCATCTGCACTAAGGGCCTAAAGTAACTACTGATGAGTAATTAGCTCTACTTAACTCACCCGCTATAGTTCAAATAAACTTCAAAAAAGTTGATGATAGAACCATTGAGATGACCGTTAACTGATCCAGTATTGTTTATAAGGCCTGTATTGGTCGTTTGCTGGCCGTTAGAAAAATGAACATCTGCAACGTTGGAAGAATAGACCTTCCCCATAGCTTGTGTTGTCTCTAAAAGTGAATAGTGCCGGGAAGGACCCGTTAAGTTGCACATAAAACCTTTGCCATGATTGCACCAAACCTCCATAACAACGAGAGAAAATCTCTGTTGTGCAGAACCGTACACATGTGTCACAAACAAAGCGCTTCCATGTGTCTCGGTGTAATGTTTGGTAACAACCAGAAAACCAATTCTCACATGTGGAACTCCATAGCCAATGCTGAACTGGCCTGCATCTTTACGCACCTCTAAAGCATTTCCCCCGTATTTGACATCAATGGTACCAACATCAACACCACCTCTTTTGTTGGTTTCATGATCACGAACACTGATATCCACTCTGGTTCCTTCACTGTCAAAAGTGTAGTCCCTGAGGGAGACACTTGCGTTGTCCCTTCCCACACTCACTCGAAGTGTGCATGTTCTTGAATCAGAAGTTGAGTATACAACTGATTGCTCTTGGCCGTTAGCACTCTTGGACACATCAGCTCTCGATATGTTACTGATTGTGCTCCCTGAGCTCCCCATATCTCTTTCTAAATGGGCTTTGTTTTGTTGCCTTGACATGCCTTTGTGTATTATAAGTAGCTAACTAGATTCTTAATTAGCTTAGAAGGCAAGCAAACTCATCTTCTTTTGACAGATATAGAACATTCTTCTCCAAGATTAGATTCGACATTAGTGGGTTTCCCGGCCCCTTCTTCCTTTTCATATGATTCTACTTCCATATCAGGATTCATATAGTATAGCAATAAATATTGGAAATGCTAGATAGACAGGAATTTGAATATAATGACTTGGTAGGTTTCTTGATTCGCGAATGGATAAATGGTATGTCATTTATCAAATATATATTTGCATTTAAATCTTCCAACAAAATGCTTGTATAAAGTTAGAGCTCCTCAAGTAAATATTTTCACATAATAACATAAGTCCATAAATAGGCAGAAAAGATGAGAAAGAGCTAGATAATATATAAAGGGACAGAGGACAATTAAACTTACCATTTCAGCTGCTTCAATGATTGGGAGTGTCAACAAAATACCACCAAGTATCTGGATCAATTGATGGGGTTATTCAAATTTAACTAGTGGTCTTGAGTGTGAGTCTTAGCTAGTATGTAATTGTGCATGTGTTCCCAAGCATGGGGTATATATAGCATGAGGAAAGATTTCCTAACGTAGGAAGTGTGATGTCATAATTGTTTTCAATTCCATGGCTCCACTAACATGTGAGGCTGCATGACCTCTCACATCCAGGGTTATGCGTGCATGGGGAAAATTAAGTGTAAGGACCATTTGTTTTCTGATGAGTTAATGGTTTGTTAGGAGAGTGCAAAATAGCATTCCTCGGTTGGGGGGGAAAATTTAATATGCTCCAGGCCCTCCACTTATTCAGTGGTTCATTTGCCGTAAATGGAAAATTTTCTTCCATTTCTATCCCTATCTTTTTGATCTTTTCCTCTTCAATCTTTTCTTTTTTTTTATTTTGGAGAGAGACTACCATGATCCAGACCCATAAAGAACCTTCTCCGGTTCGGAGAAGGAAAGCCGTGCATTTCTTGAAAGGATGCTAATTCAGGGGTACAGCATCATCTGTGATCTCCATCTCGCAAATATCAGTCTTTCTCCTACAAAGCAATCATCGACCCAAGTTCATTCTTTTATGTACGTACTCAAATGCAACACTATTAGTCTCAGAAGGGACCTAGACCTAGGAAGTGACGAGCGTGAGGGAGAATTAAGGCCTCCAAGAAGCAACCAACTTTAGTGGAATAAATACCTCGTATGGTATTGTTTGAGAATTGGCGTGTTATGTAAACCTCGTAGCCCGTACATTCTAACGCAATTTCACTACTTGGAAATACAATTCTAACAATAGTAATACCTTTTCATCTAACAAGAGTCAGCATACATTAAGACAGTGTTGTGCTATTTTTCACATCAATTTTTACGGCATACGTTTTTTGGTATTTAAATTGGTTGTTAAAAGAGTGAATCTCTCACTTGTAATGTACAAAATCATAATAAGAGATATTGTATTTTAAGAATATTTGTTGGTATGAATGTATGATGCTTTTTCTTTTATTTTTCTTCATTTTTTAATGTCTCCCAATCAGTTTTCTTTTGCTTTTATTTCTACTTCTAATCGAGTATGTGAGTGGCCTTTCTTTGTGACCAAACCTACATTTCTGATGCACACGTGCTCACACACTGCAATTTTTTTTTTTTTGAAAATATTTCAATCGATTCATTGCTTCGCAATTAATCCGATTCGAGGCGGATCCAGGATTAAGGCTTTAAACCCCTCCCAAAAGTGGTACTGAGAAGATTCGAACACATGCTCTCACCTCCACCCTGCTTAGCTCCCATGCACCAACTGAGCTACCACCATTTAGTACTGATTGCATTTTTTAAGCATGTGTTTAGAGATTTTCAGATTTTCTTCTGGCCCAAAAAGTTACATATTATTATGGAGGAGGAGGAGGGTTTGATGAGGAGCGGAACGAGCATTATATTTTTCACCAAGCAAACAAAGACAAGTGCAACCTCACGAGAGAAAAGAACTTCAAATAAAACCAAAACAGCAGAAGAAAAAGAAAGCAGTAGCGGAAGAATCAACCTTGGCATTGAAAGCAACTTAATGTGTCTGAACTCATGCATGATTTGAATGCATTATTCAATTCAAGTGACATTATTCAAAATGCTCAAAACACTCAGGTAGATGAACTATGAACGGGCATAACGTACGGTAATACGCCTCTGGATGGGGCTCCTACAAGAAGGACAGTCTTGCATACCCTGTTTCTCATGGAGCTCATTGCATGTAGAGCAAACAACCTGATGAGCACATGGGAGGAATACAACAGACATCTCCTCGGAAAGACACATTACACATTCCCTTTCCCGTTTCACACCCCCTGTCAAAGAGTAGTCACTTAAATTTGTAACTAGTTCTGAAATAAAAGTGGTCCGGGATTCTTCTAGAGCAGAGCCAGTTTTCATGTCCATACAGCTGCTGGCATTGCTTCCATCAATTCCCCTTCTCAGAGCAGCAATTTTCGAAGAGTCGGTCTTCTGTCTCAGTTGTGCCACTTCTTTTTCAAGTTTCTGGATGTCATCTCTGAACCTCTGCAGATTCTCTTCTGCTTTTAATTTGATCATTTCCTCCTTCGATTTTGCTGACTCCTCAATTTGTTCTCTTTCTTTTCTTATAGTACTGGCCTGTATGAGAAGTTCTTCTTTTGCCTTTGCTGCCTGCTGCCATCTAGCCTGTGAAATTTTTCCTTTACAATGAGAACAGTCCCAGTAACAAAACTCATTTAGCACTTACAGATTGAATACGGTTGCATCTGTGGAATCTAACAAGTGATGCATGTGTACCAAACTTTACTCTCATGTGTCACTTCAGTAAAACAATATTCACATTTTTGTGATTCTGATATCAGTATTTTTTTACTAAAGGACAAGTCTTGCAGCCACAAGAGAGATAGAACCTTTAACGTCAAATGAGACAAAAAAGGTGTACGAGGACAGAAAAAAGATGATAGATCATCATATTGATTAATAGCTTGGAGAAGGGGAGGCTGTTCTTGACTTTTTAGAAGGTAAAAAGATGATGTTGAGTTTGAGCCCAGGGAATGGAAAAAGGGGTCTTGGGAGAGCTACCCCTTATAATGAGTCTGACAGTACTCGAACCTGACAAGTCGAGTAATCGATGAACCGGTGGATATATCCAAAAAAAAAGATGATGTTACCTTGTTAGCTAATACTGTGGGAAGGGGAAACCTGTTCTACATGAAAACAATGTTAATGATTAAAACATGCATAGAAATGAATAACAAATACATGTCAATGCGAGTTCATCGAAATTTATTTCATTTAATTCTGAGCAAAAAATGAGAGTGGGGGAGTTTTGAAATTTCAGATAAAATAATCTCTTACTTCGTACGAAATGAGGCTTGTATATTGAAGACACCATGAGACTAAACTATAGCCTAAGCCATATATGTTAGTATCGATATCAGGTGAACATTTACAAGATAGAAAGCACATGGAAAAACAGTAGTAATGAGCTTGAAATAGCATACCTCAACTTGCTCCTGTTGCAATTTAGCTTGCTCCAATTCCTGCCGCAGCTGTGCCAATTTGTGTTTTTCAGCCATTAGTTCTTCCTGAAACAAGGATTTCTGCTTTCCCCATGATTGAAACTTCATTTGGGTCTTCTTTTCCCTCTGTGACACCTCTTGACAGCTTGTGGCTGATTCTGCCGCACGTAACTTAGCAGCCTCCATCTCTCTCCTCAGCACAGCATTCTCCACTTCAAGCTTCCGGACAGCAGTGTTAGCTCGTTCCACCTGTCCACTTGCTTTACACAAGGCATTTTCCATCTCAGAAAGCTTCTTCATGGTATTTTCCTCTAGAGATTGCTTCTCTTTTTTAAGACGATCAACTTCATCTTTCTCTTGCCTTAGTGTCTTAAGCTCAGCCTTGTCCTTACTCAGCCGACGGGCAGCCTGCATAATCTTCTGATTTGCCCACTCTGTCCATTCTTGAAGCTGATTTTGCAGCTCCCGAACCCTTGGAACCAGCTTCAAAATCATCTCATCTTTTTTGTCCTGGGGTATCCATTGCCCCAAGGACTTGTCAAACGGTATCCCCAAACAACTACTATTAGGTGCCTCATTATTGAGGCAGATAGACGACTTGCTTTTTGAAGATAATGAAAGAGAAAGGTCAGTAACTGTAGCTGATAATGCATTTGGGCTACTGACCGCTGGGATAGCTTTGGCTTCATGTACCGAACATGAAGTATCAGTTGAGTGAGAAACAGTATCAGTAGAATCCAGGCTAAATGCAATTGGGGTAGGTGGTCCATCATTAGATGAGAAATCAGCGTCATGATTGTCTTTAGTCACATCAACTCCCATCGCCTTACTTATGTTTAAGGATGCACTCTTTAAGTTTACGGCAGTAGATTCTGATACAGATTTAAGTTTTTTATCCAAGAGTAAACCACTCAAGCCACTCAGCTTTCCTCCTCTTGAAGACCCTTTAGACCCATATGTCCGGTAACTTTTTTCCACATGGAATGGCTTCTGTCGTAGAATGTAGTCCCTCTTGGTGCTACTGGAATGAACCTTTCTAGCACTCCCACTCTTTTCTTCCACCAGGGGAGATTGAGATGCTAAGGCAGTACTAGATGATTTATCAACAAAATCAAATCCAGAATTAACACCCTCTTTCTCTGAGAGTCCACCAAGAATTTGAGAATTCTTGAAGTTGTTCATGCCAGAATTTCCTGCTACACAGGATTTCTCACATTGAGAACCTGAGGGAATTGATTTACAAGGACTTGGAAGACTCAATTTACGAGCTTTTATTTCTATTTTTGATTGTGATTCAGTCTGGACAGAAGAAGAACAGCCATCAGCAATGCCATCACTGCCTAAACTACTTAAAGGGTCACTGTCCATTGCACAAGCATGTGAAACGTTCATGTCACAAATTAACAAACACCACATTGCATCCCCAGTACTGAAGAATGGCCTAACCTCTCGAAGAACACAAACCAATTCAGCCAAGATGTACTTCTCAAGCTGCACTAAATCTTCAAAAGAGTGTTCCAGTGAAAGGTCAATCTCTTGGCCATTCCTAAGAAATGCTAATGTATTGTCAACTACATTAGACACAGTATCTTTGCATCCATAACAGATGCCAGACCTTAAGATGGCCTTTGTAGCAACTTCTTCAGTGTAGCCACATGCAACAATTTTTTTTATTGCACTCCTGAAAATGGTGTCCAAATTGCTCAGGACAAGTTCTTCCAACTGGGATTCTGTGAGATCGTTCCAATCAGCATCATGAAATTCATCCACCTCGAGTTCCTCCTTAGTCGGGCTAAGCCTGACCTCAGATGAAACTAGAGGACTAGACAATCCAAGGTCAAGCTTCAATCCATTGGAATGATCTTGGCTAATACTACACAGGTTAGAAACAGCGGCTTGCCCATGACTTTGGGTTATTTCGAATTTCTCAGCAGAAAATTCATAACTGAGGCTTTCATGTTGAGGTGAAGGAACAATCTTATTTGGCTCCCCAAAAGGTGGATCAGCCCTGAATTTTCTCTTATTCCTACTTCCTTTTTCTTGGACAGAAACTGAAGGAGGCATTTGACTGCTACCGCTGGCAACCAATGATGCCATTTAGCTGCAAACCAGAAGTAATAAAAAGAAAAAAGATCAAACCAATGAATACACTCATCATCAAGTATTATGACTTTATCTAGCAACAATTCACAAAGCATCCAAAATTTACTTATTCCAAAAACAAGTTATGTCTATAAAGATAATGGGAAAATTGTTGAGATATATAAAATCATTAATGTAGCCTCACCCAATAGCTTAAGCTTTTGGGTTGAATTGGTTCTTTACATGGTATCAGAGTCTCGGTGTCACTGCCCCCCCCCCCCCCACCCACTTTATTTCTAGTGGAATTTCTTTCTTCGCACGTGTAGGTGGGCATGTGCATTGTCCACCCTTCAAGCCCAGTGGACTCTCGTGTGAGGGGGCGTGTTGAGATATATAAAATTATTAATGTAGCCTCAATCAATAACTTAAGCTTTTGAGTTGAATTGGTTCTTTACAAAAATTAAAATTGATGAGATAAATTCAGAACAAATTCTGTAACATTATCCACCAAGAAGAAAAAAAAGAAAATAAGTAGTAGTAACACTGGATTATAATGCATTGCATGTATTTAACAACTGAAGATTCATTACCTCTAAACCTCAGTATTGCGACCTACAGTATATAACTCCCTGAAGCGTTCAGACAGAGAAAAACTAATCAATGAATAATAATAATAATCAAAATACTAAAAACACTACCCAGAAATATATAACCAGTAATTGAAAAAGAGCATACCCAATTGAAAAAGATAGAAAATTGAAAACACCCAAATGAATTCAAAGACATATCAATACTCCAGAGTCAGCCACAAATCAGAAAAGTTATCAAAGAAAATTAAGTTTTTAATATTATAGCATAGGCAGCCACCGATACGCAGAAGATCCCAAATAAAAGTGGAAGAAAACCAGAGTTAGAATCAGTATTAGACGATCGAGACGTACCCGATTGAAGCAAATTTATGAACAATCGAAAGTAAGATCGATCTTAGAACATCGGAGAATCAAAAAGAAAATTCCACAATTTTCTTTTTTCTATTTTTTTTTTCTGGTTATTTTATTAGCGCTGAGGCCGTAAGAGCTTGGAGAGTCTTTAAAAGCCTTCTAAGCATTGAACGTCGCCGTCCCTCTATAGTAACTAGGTTTGCATCATCATGGGGTTATAAAAGTGAAAATAAGTCTTTTAAAATAATAATAATAATAATAATAATTTTATGATATAATTTTGGATTTTGTTAATCTCATATTAAAAGAGATAAGTTATCTCATGTCATATAAATAAATGTGTGAGCTCCAACACTTGAAAAAAAAGAAAAAAAAAATGACACTGTTATCGAAAGGTGTGTAAAAAAAAAAATTATCTCATGTAGCATAAGAATAATTTTTTTCTATAATTTTATATCATTTTAGATAAAATGACGTCATTTTGCTATATAATTGATAGTTTTTTTGTCTCCTCTTGTCTTTACTTTCACTCTCTTCTTAATTTTATGGAGTAAAAAAAATATAAAACATTTTCAAATATACATCATTTAAAATAATAAATACTTTTGCAATAATAATAATAATAATTTTGTATAAAATAATATTGTAAGAAGAAGAGTTAATAGCAGCTTCTTTGGAATATTATTTGTATGGGATTTGGACATTTTTATCGTACTATTGGGCACGTACGATAGTAACATCAAAAAATATATTAACCAAGGTTTTATAGATTTTTCCTACGCTGCCGTTATAGTAGTATTAGGTGTGTATGATAGTAACATCAAAAAATATATTAACAAATCAAATCGCAACTGAGCTTCTAAATATTTGTTTGAGTCAGGAGTTTAAACGTTATCTCAAGCAAATTTTTGGAAAAATTTGGAGAGTTAGAGGATGTGTCTCTCTCCTCGAATGGGGGAATTAGTCTCATCCCGTATCCTGAGGACAAAGTAACCGGAAGAAGTTGAATGGAGATACCTTCAGGTTATATCAAAAAATATATATATATTAAGGAAGCAGATTATTCCTACGTTGCCTTTATTTATTTATTTTTCCTCTTTATTTTATTTTGTTTTCTCTTATTTTATTCATTTTTATTCTTTATTTTTTATGGTTTTTATTCAATTAATTTGGAATATAAGTGATATTAATGTTAAAAATGTTGATGTGATACCCTTATAGTAAAAGATGTGATTAGACCAAATACAATATGGGTTAGCCAATGTGTATTGGGCCGAATCACACACAGTTGAGACGGGATGGTGTTCTTTGCCTTTGGGCTTAGAGTTGTTGTTGAGGATCAGTATAGCCTTTGTCCTTTGCTAGCGCGGTGAATCCGAATGGGGTACCTGCGAAGACACTCTGATGTTTAAGTTAGTATCAGAGACAGGTGTATGTATGTGATAATAAAAATAGATAGATGTACCTGGATGTGTACCCTCTGCTTAAATAGTAGTTATGATGCCGCCTTCATAAGGCGGTATGGCTTCTGATTGGCCCTGTTTGGGCTGCAGGTCAGACTAGGACCTAAGTAGCCTTATCTCCTTAGTATCAGGTTATCTGTGTAGAGTCGCGACGAGCTGGAGCTGTCCTTTGTTTATTAGTTCAAAGGCGCGGTGAGCTTGCCTTAGTTCTTAAGTTAGCTTCCTTGTTTTCGGAGCTTATATCAAAGGGCGGTTTCATGCGTGATAGGAGCATCGCGTCTTACCTTGCGTGATGGGGACATCGCGTCTGGCCTGGTGCGCGATGCTCACCATCGCGCTTTGCTCTGGACCCTTCATAAGATTGGGTTTCCTTGTATGTTATTGGACCTTTAATGAGCCTACTATATTTTATGCAGATCAAGATGTTTATTTCATTCTTTGTGTTCTTTCTGGATATTTAAATTGGATATAATTTTATTTGATGTATTTGTAATTTGATAGTGTATTTGTAACGACATGATTAAAGAATTTTCCAAAGTTTATTCTGTCTCTCTTTTTTGCCGAAATTTAATAAAATTCACCTTACTATAAAAAAAATTGCAAGAATATATCTTTGAAGAAAGAATATGTTTAATGAAAAGTTGAAAGACACAAGCAACGACTTTGTAACACAATTGGGATTAATTGGGACCATTCTAAATCTTTAACTTCAAGCGTGATATTAACATTGATGGTCCAATCTTTTATGATGTCATCTTTTTGTCATCCTTTCCGATATATGCTTTCATCTTTTATTTCCATAATAAAAAATAAAAATAAAATACTCATATTTATATTAACTAACCAAAATATCACATTATATTTAATTTTTATTTTAAATATTTTATTAAAGTATTTCTTTGTAGGTCTAATTACAAACATACAAACTTAAAAGCTTTTATATCTATCGATCTATATAGGTCCAATTAAGTTTTATGCGAAGTTAATTACAAGTAATTGAATTTGGATTATTGAATTCCTTAAGTTAATTCAACTCCATAAATACTCTAATAAGGAAACATTAAGATGATAATTTAATTGAGTATTTACAAGTAACATGTGAGTATTGAATAATAAAATAAATTTGATAACGTTACTACAAGAAAAAAGTTTATTTGTGACAAAAATTTTCGTCACAAATTTTGTCACAAATGACAATTTTCGACACAAATAATCAAATTTCGTCACAAATAAATTTGCGACTTAGGAATTTGTGACGAAATTTCATATGTAGTGACGAAATTTGCGACACTAATAAGATTTTTTCTTGTATTTTATATATCCAAATCATGACAATTGAGATATATTATTGTTTTTTTAAGTTCAAATGAAAATAACTTGTTTTAATTTTGCCATACAACAGCTGCAAAAATGATTATATACATATATATATATATAAATAGGTTCGATTTTTATACAGTCAATATAGATAACTTATCTACATTGAACTTAAAACGACGTCGTTTTGAGGCTGAAATCAAGGTATTTTTGTACTTATAATTTATTTCAGGGTTATAATAGTCTTTTTATTATAATTTTTTAATTTTTCAACCCAAAACAACGTCGTTTTGGGAGCGAATGTAGATAACTTATCTACATTCCCTACTGTAGAAACATTAAAGCTTATATATATATGATAAAATTATTTCTATAGCTGTTTTACGTTCAGCAGTAACAGATATATATAGGGGTTTATATTTCTACAGCTGTTATACGTGTAGCAATTAAATACTTACCATATATATACGTAAAAGTGTTAAATATGAGGAATCATAACCATACAAAAGGGAAAAACATTAAATGTGGGAAATACATAAAAGTATTAAGTATGGGAATCATAACCATACAAAAAGGGAAAGCATAATGCGGGGAATCATTTCTATACATCTGGCACTATTGTACATAAACGGTTATAGAAATGATTTTATCTTATATATATATATATGGGTTATATTTATCTTATGTTATAGGAAAATGGTTATCTCGTGTTATATAAATAAAATTACAAGTGGAACCCACATCTAAGAGGAGAAAAAAAAATAGATGTAGTACCCACCTCCACTTTGTGTGTGTAGAAAGCTTGTTTATCTTATGTAACATAAGATAAATATAACCCTATATATATATATATATATATATATATATATATATATACGGGAAAAATATTTATCATTTTAAAGGATATAACCTTATGTCATTTTAGATCCTAACCGTTGATTTCTGTCAATCAACGGTTATAATTTATTGGGTCAAACTTAATGGGCCAAACTTATTTTTAATTAAGAGTAAATACCTTTTTTAGTCCCTGGAAATATTTGCGAAGCACAATTTAGTCCCTCGGTTTAAAAAAGTCACATTTCAGTGTTTCATTTTTAAAAAAAAGGGACACGTTTATCCTTCTGTTAAGTGGAAAGTGACGGCCCTGTTGACGGACACCACCTGGAACGTTAAGTGGCTGAGTCACTAACGTCCTGCCCACGTGGATGAAAGGGTGAGTGACCCAATATAGTCCCTGTCAAATTTAGAACCCTAAATCAGCCTAAGAATAAAAAAAAACCCCAAAACACATTTTGTTGAAGATTGAATAGAGTGTCAAGTAGAAGGTGTTTACTGGCTATTTTCTGGTGCGTAGAAGAAGATGACTATGTTATCTGGCTTGGGGGATCAAGTTTTCTGGTGCATTTGGGAGTAGAACAACCTGACGGAATTTTGGACGAAGGTGCAAGATGTTGTTCAGCAAGATCTGAGTATGAAGGTGCAGGAAAGAAAGCTGTGATGATTGCAATGGTTGTAACAATGAAATGAATTGTACGAAATGTAGTTTTTCTTGAATGAAATTGAATGACTTGTTGACCACTGTGATGAATAATGTTGAGAAGATGCACTTTTGGTCCCTGGATATTGGAACCTAATGATATAAACTAGAACCCAATTTAGTCCCTGGATATTGGACCCTAATGATATAAACTAGAACCCAATTTAGTCCCTGGATTTTTTATCGAGGGCCAATTAGGTCCTTGAAAAAATATATCGGGGCACTTTTTGGTCCCTGACAGTTAAAATTTGGACATAACCTGTTTAGACTAAATTGAACACAAGCTGCAATTCAAAAGTTGTTCATCACAAAGACATAATGCAGCAATTCAAAAATCAGCAAGCTGCAGCAATTCAAAAGCTGCAATTCATACAAGCTGCAATCCAAAAATTGGACATGAACACATTGCATTCAAATTTGTCCAAACAGCAACGACCAAACAGTACCCAGAATTGGACCACCTGCATTGTAGCCAGAATAAAAAAGATTCATACACAAATTAACAAATCAGCATACAGATACAGCTTGCAGCAATGGGAAACAACTAATATAAAAAAGGAAGTTGTAGTCATTCATAATGGAACTTGTAGTCAATTACAATTGCATACCCTTCCATCATAATTAAAGGCTTGTCAAAAAACAGAACCTATGATGGGCACCAAAACCATTCTAAAACATCCATTTCATACACAAAAAACAGAACCTATGATGGGCACCAGAACCTATGGGGGTACCAAAAAATACAGTCATGAACATTGTTGCCTATACAACAAAAAAGTGAACCCCTATACAAAAAA